TCAATATATCGCTGTTCATTGAAATACACTTGGTCACCCAAGAGCTCTGATAGAGATGGACAAGGAGATGAATGTTGTTTTCATGCCTGCTAGCACAACATCCATTCTGCAGCCCACGGATCAAGGAGTCATTTTGACTTTCAAGTATTATTATTTAAGAAATACATTTTGTAAGGGAATAGCTGCAATAGACAGTGATTTCTCTGGTGGATGTGGGCAAAGTCAATTAAAAACCGCTGGAAAGGATTCACCATTCTAGATGTCATTAAGAACATTCATAATTCAATGAGGAAGAGGTCAAAATGTCAACATTAACAAGAGTTAGGAAGAAATTGAATCCAACTCTCATGGATATCTTTGTAGGGTTCAAGACTTCAGTGAAAAAAGTAACTGCAGATATGGTAGAAATAGCAGGAGAACTAGACTTGGAAGTGGAGCCTGAAGATGTGACTGAATTGCTCCAATCTCATGATAAAACATGAATGGATGAGGAGTTGCTTCTTACAGATGAGCAAAGAAAGTGGTTTCTTCAGATGGAATCTACTTCTGGTGAAGATGCTGCGAACATTGGTGATATGACAATAAAGGATTTAGAATATTCCATAAACTTAGTTGAGAAAGGAGTGGCAGATTTGGGAGGATTGACTTAATTTTGGAAGAAGTTCTATTGTGGTTAAAATGCTATGAAACAGCATCACATGTTACAGAGAAATCTTTTGTGAAAGGAAGAGTTAATCACTGCAGCAGACTTTATTGTCTTATTTTATGAAATGGCCATAGCCCCCCCAGTCTTCAGTGACCATCACTCTGATCAGTCAGCAGTCATGAACATTGAGACAAGACCCTCCACCAGCAAAATAATTAGGGACTCACTGAAGGCTCAGATAATCATTAGCACTTTTTAGCAACAAAGTATTTTTAATTAAATTATGTATATTGGGTTTTAGACATAATATTATTGTACACTTAATAGAGGACAGTATAGTGCAAACATAACTTTTATATACATTGGGAAACCAAAAAATTAATGTGTCTCACTTAATTGTGGTATTCTCTTTATTGCTGTAGTCTGGAACCAAATCCACAATATCTCTGAGGTATGCATATATATATATATGCCTCTATATAAAAGCTTTACTGAAGATGCTTACAATATGGTTGGGAAGTATAAGTAATGTACCCCAAATCCCAACAAAAATATAGAAAGGCATATAATTATATGCCAGGTTACATGATATAGACTGGTATTATAAAATTTTGACCAAAATCTGGTGAGCAAATTGTTATATGCTAAAAAAATTGCTATGCAATAATAAAAAAAGAGAAGGTATGTACTCAATACCACTTTGGCAATTGTGAAAATTAGTTTTAAGTGCTTATGTCAATAATTAACTTCAAAGTAAGCTATTAAAAGTTGCTCTCATATAAGGATGACTAGAATATTAGCTGTGCTCTCTAGAATATTTTGATGAAACACTGCTTGATTTAGATCTAACCTTTATGAACAAAAGGAAAGTGTAAAAATAGATTCATAGTCATCTAATAAGAAAACACAATTAAGAGCCCAGAAATCCTGTCATGACAATTCTATCCAAAATGCATAGCATAAGTATCTCCATACATCAGCTCAGTGCCTTGGTGTCAGGTGCTGCCTAAATGAAAAACTCAGCAAGGGAGGGAAAAATGCCAGTGTTCATTCAGTCAAATTAGACCATATTCTTAGTTGACATTACATTTGTACTTTAAAATTTAGGTTTGGCCCACACACCCAAAAATTTACATTGGTCACACACAAAGCATCCATAACATTACAGTATGTACTTGACAAAGAATGTATTTCCTGTGTTATGTTTTGGTATGATTCAATTTTCATAAATATATACCATTCCCCCTGCCTCCAGAAGAAAGGATTACTTCTTTTTTTTTTATATAGGATAGACCCTAGACCTTTTTTTCCCCATTCAAAATACTTGATAATATCCAGTTGTTTGATTAATGGATTTGATGATATTCACAGCAAAATCAATATATTATTTTTTAAGAACTGAGTTTCCTAAGGCATGAAGCACCTATACAATCTAAGCTTATGTAGTAAATAGATCAGGTATGAAATAGCTTGGTCAGAAAGGTATTCCTTTTGCAATCTTCTTTTCTGTCTGCTGATCATATCAAGGATTAAGTTTCAGTATGGTGCAAGTATGTCTTCACCATTTCTCAAATATTAGCTAATGTTCTTTCATAACAAAGACAATAGACCTCAGGATATGCAGACAACAATATCTACTTAAAATTTAATTTTGTGTTTCTTAGATTTGTAATTGTTTTTACAACTACCATCTATTTGTGGCAAGTGATACAAGTTTCCCAGTTACAGAAATAACATAAACTTCACTTGTAAAAGTATTGAAATTGAGAGAGTGAGTCAATTTAAAGAAAAATATTAGGAAAATAATAGTACATATGGTTCTCAGATAGAGCCAACTTTGTGCAATGATAATATACAAGTGACTAAAGTTGGAAAAATAGAGTTAAAATAATTAACATCTTAAAAATGTTTATTCATTAATTGATTCCATATTAATTACGATTAACATTTTTACCAAATCTAGAAATTCTTAAATTTTCATTTCTATTGGCATGAAAATGCAACCTATTATTTAATCCAAATAATACTCATAAAATAAATTATTGATATAATCTATTAATCATTAGTATTAAAAAATAGAACAAGGGGAATTTTAGCAGCATTAACTTGTAATAGTTTCATGGTTACTTGTTCTACAGGATTTTGTAGGTGCTGTTAAATACTGTTGTATCATCACACTATGAATCCATAAGTCCATATTTCAGTACTACTATATAGGCAAGATCATATTACGTAATACAGCCATCTGGCACTCTAAAATAATGGCTCTAACCCTGTGTTCTGCCATAGCACATGGAAAATAATGTTCATATACTAGATATGTTCCTGGGGACAGACTCAGATTTTGACAAAATTTTTCTCTTCCTGCTAATTTTTTCCAGAACATTGGGCAATACAGGGCTATAGATGTTAGTTACACATAAGTTCCAGCATTTTTCTTTCCATCCAACAAAGCTAAAACAAATGTTAGCAAAGCTAGAGATACGAAGGTAAGGACTGGAATGGAGCATGATTTGCAGATGAGGTGACCTAAGTGAATGAGGCTGGTACCAATCGTTTGTATTTTGATAAAGTGACTGACAGCCCAAATTTACCTGCAACAGTTTAAAAAGTATGACTTTATAGTATACAGAAAAACAATTTTGTGTTATGATGGAAAAAATAAAGATTTAATTTTTTTACTCTAAAGTAGAATAACTCACCAGAAGTGGTAACCCAAATTTTCTCTTGTGTATTAATATGTTCTACAATATTAGTACACTACCCACTCCTTTTATGGGTAAAATTTAGCATTCTCTGATAACACTCAAAATGTTTAGTGTATTCTGATTCTAATTTTAAAAATATATGAATCAGTGCATTTTTAAAAATTAGATGGTATGATAAACTATAAGAATAAGGAATATATTAGTATTATTATATATAGAAACTGTGCCATATTTAGTTTGTTTAAAATCCAGAGATCTGATTAATATCACTGACATAAAATCAAGTCTTACACTGAACTAACTCAACCCATATACTAGGAAAAAGAATTCCTATTATGACTTACAACTGTGAGTCACACTTATATATGTGTGTGTGTTCCACTCCTGCTGTTATAAAAATCAGTCAACAACAATCATTTTAATTTCATGATTATGTTATGAACTTACCTTTGCCAAAATAACAAGAACAAAGCATGGTCAACATGATAATTTTGGGTGTCTTAATAATCTAATAACATCTTTTTTTTTTTGCATCTATACTGATATTGCAATGGCCCCAAACTGTCAATGACTCTTCCAAAGCACATTTAATAAATATGGACACATTGGCTAATATTATAGTAAATCAATTTACATTGCCTATGTTCACTATACATGTTAACTCTACAAAAGATTGTGAATTTAAGGAAGCTAAAGTAAAAATAGCATTAAACAGAAATTCCAGATTAACCAAAATAATAAAGTAGAACTTTATGCTCAGGAGTCATATACAAACACATATGTTAAAAGCACAATTATTAAACTTTTTTCTGAATTGTCCAGGTTTAGCTAATAATTTTAATGTTATCATTGGACTTTGGTCCTCTTTAACAGAAATTAGAAACAAAGTAATAAACATATTCTTTTCTTCCCCAAACCATTATAATTTTTCAATTATGATATAAAATGTGATATAATATTTAATCAAGTACAAGTAGAAATAACTAAGAAATAATCATCTGTGTCAGAGTAGAGGAAATAGAAAAAATATGATTCACTTCCCTTCCCTCTATATGTATCACGTAGGTGTAGAGTTTACAGAAATACCCATGTAACACACAGTTCCTACATTTTGTTAGTAGGTATGTACTTTAAGCATCAACACTCAACTGGTTAACATTCCCACCAAGGCAGAAATGCAAATTTTAGAAAAACAGCCTATAATATTTCAATCTATAAGTGAACACAGAAAGCATTTTGGTACTATCAAATTGCCAAACTAATCAAGATAGACAAACAAAACAGAATTATCTTGCTGTTTATCTTAAAATTACCTCCCAGGCATCATTTAGACGTCTCAGGCATCACTATAATTCTGTGTTCACCCATTGTGTACTTAACAACAATGTGATCTAATAAGTACTACCATGATCTTTGAGATTTCGAAGAATCACAGCAGGAAGGCTGTGGGACTGCCACCCTGTCACTAACTCGACCTCTTTTTCCTTAACGTGAGCCCTGAGCATGAGGGGTGGCGCTTTCAGAAGCAGGTCAAGAGGCAGCAAAGCTGAAGAAATAAAAAGGGGGAAAGATAAGAAACTGTAACATAAATTACATTGAATTTCAGGGAGGTGTGTCTGATTTTATTGCTGCCAGCACTAAGTTACCTGGTCTTGGTCTTGATCCTATTCCACCAGTAAAGTCCCTGAAAACAGAATTAGAGGCCATCAGAATGACTTGTCCAACTTGGATTTGACAAACATTTACAGAGAGCGTACACTCTGCTATGGTCTACATTATTAACACAAATAAAGGTCATTTTCCCTCAAGATGCTCTCAAGATTTTAAATAATGAGGGAAACAAATATATTGTAACACAGAGTAGAACTAACATTCTACTGGCAAATGGAAGAATGCTGTCCTACCACAGTCGTTTATAAACTCTAAATATGATTAAGAACCTACATCTTAGTATCCTGAATGATTTTCTTATTGTACTTAAAATCCAAATACTGACTTTTTTTATTAAAAAGAAATAACATTTAAAATTTTGCATATGGTATTTTTCATATTAAAAATAAATAGCATTTACAATTTTGTATATGGTATTTTCCATGATTTGTTCCTGTTGTCTTAAAAAAAATAAAAAAAAAAACCCTAACTCTTCCTGTAAAATTTTTTTTGCATTTAAAAGAAAAACATTTTTCCTAAGGTTTCCAGTGTTATTATCATTCCTTGTCTCCTTTGCTTCAAAACTGTAAATTGCTAGATAATTTTGCAAATTATTTGTCTCAATGTCTTCTATGGAGGTGGCCTTACACCCCCCACCAGGGATATCCACAAATAACCTTCAGCCTTGTTTTTTTATTGTGTCTTGGAGCTAATTTCTCAATAGTTTTCTGGAACAAAATAAGAAACACCTGTGCCATAACAATTTATAAGAATCATACTTTCATTTAATGCAATCCAACAAAAAAATATCAAACATTTACTATGTATAAGGCACATGATAGGCATTTGGTAAGTAGGAGTGAATATAGGGATTCAGATACAAATAAACATGGCTGATAATTCTCTTGCACCAAACCTTTCATTTTAATCATAGAATTTTAAAAAACATATATGCAGCAACACATACCTAAATTATTAAGTGTAACACAACTGGCGCTCATTTACCCACCACCCACCTTAAGTACTAGCATAATACCATCATCCTTGCATCCACCTATGAGTTAGTTCCCTCTCTAACCCTATCTCTTTCCATACTCTCTCGACCCTCACAAAACCAGCCCTCCCTTGATCCCATAATTTTTTGTGTCCCATTCTCAGAACAAGTTTCCTTGAAAATAAGCAGAACTTGCAGCCTTGGCCAGAATATGCACTCTCCATATCCCTGGGAAATGCAGCATGCTTAAAAAGAAAAAAAAAAAAAGAAAGAAAGAAAGAAAGGGACAGTCCTGCCCTCAGAAAGTTCAAAGCCAGGCATGATCACAGCAGTGCCCGTGCGTGGGCAGGACAGCCCCAGGCTGAGCTGCAGAGCAGAGCATCTGTTCTGGCTCCTCTTATCCTTGCACACACACCATATCCCAGCAAATGCTTTCTCAATAACTCTCTGCCCCTTAGCCTTCTAGATGAGTACAGCACTGACTACTAGAAATATAATGCAAGCTACAAACATAATTTTAAATTTTCTGGTAGCTACATTACAATAAAAAGTAAAGAGAAAAAAAGTGAAATTCTTCTTACTATTTTATTTAATCAAAAATATCCAAAATTTTATCGTTTCGCCATGTAAAAACTAATGAGATATTTTACATTGTTTTACACTCAAGTTAATATTAAATGAAATTAAAAATTCAGTCCTCGAAAATTCAACCGTTCCAGTGTCACATGTGCCCAGTGGCCTCCATATTTAACAGCGTGTTCCAGGCCCTTCCTTAGAAGGTGTTGGTCATTGTTTTCATACACATAACATTACAATCATACCACTTAGCTGCTAAATCTGCAAAACCTCCTGGACTCCACTATCTTAAAAGGTGAATAAAAAGGTAACTTGTGGAGAACTTGTATCCGGAAGGTTATGCATGTTCTTAAAAAGTTGATAATCACTCACATGCTGAGTGAACTAGATGACTATTTTAATTGTCCTGAGGAATGCAACATTTTAAACATTTCTACATATTAAAAAAATGTTTTACACAATATGTGCTAGTGAGACATGTGAAATAGCCCACCCTGATGATGCTGAGTTGCTGGCAACTTTGCTACTCCTATATAATTATAAAGTCCTCTTTAATAAATTGTAGGTAATCTTTAAAAAGAACCATCACACATTCATTCACTCATTCAGGAAATATTTATGAAGTGCCCACAATGTGTAGCCACTGCACTGGACAATGGAGATGGGATGGTGAAAAGAAATAGTTTCTACAGTCTAAGAATTTACAACATTGCAGAGGGATGATAGCACAAAAAATTTAATTTTTTCTGGAAATTATATAACTAACCACAAGAAAATACAGTCATCTGAAATTCCGTAATAGACCAGACTCATTGTGACCAGAAGTGAGAGCTTTAAACTATGCAATTGGTGGGTCCACAAATGGAAAAATTATTGAAATTATGCAGAGCCTGCAGGAAGGCTGCTTCTAGATTGAACCATGTTGAATGTTTATGTCCGATAGAGCATTATGGCTACAGAAAATGATGGTCCCGTATAGCTGGAAAATACACAAAAGTAGTTTAATACAAAGAAAATGTTCCAGCAATATTTTCTGTTGAAGAGGCTTAACATATTGCAGTTTGTGTTCTCTGGAAGTTTTGAAATGGCCAATAGCACTTCAGGCTGATGGAAGAATTTCAGAAAAATGGAAGATTAAAAGGATTCTAAAAGGTCATCACTTCCAGCTCTCTTCAGATCTGGTGTGACTTTGTTTGGAATTTATATGTCAAAAGAGAAAATGTAATGCTGAAAATGACCATTAGCCTACAACTTCCACCCAAAACCACTAACAAGGAAGGTGAAGAATGCAGGTATTAGCTTTGTAATTTTTAAAATAGACTTTTTGCTGAATTATTCAAGTGAAGGGTGAATTATTTGGATAATTATTCATCCTAGCCAGGAAGGAGATGAAGCTCTAGAATTTTATCTCCCATAAGAATTCCTTTAACTACATCTCTGAATGAAGGAAGTATTTTCACATGTATCACAAATTTTTATTCAGTTGTGAAAAGTAGCCAATACTATTTGATGTTAAAAAAAAAATTAACCTTATGAAATGAGAGGCTTGGCTTACAATATTAAGATAATGCCTTCTGAGGCTACTGCAACCACAACATACGAGCTAAGCAGCATTTTACAACTGAAAATCTCTTTCAGGCAGTGACATTCATAAACATGTCCTATGTGAATAAGCAACATCATGTAGGGTTGAGTTCTCATGTCCAATAAGGGCTTTTATCTGTTTACAGTGTGAATGATGCTGGTATCATGACAAGAAAGTGGTACAATGCTCCTGTGGCTTCCCACTCATACACCAATAACAGCTAGAAACAAATGAGCAATAAGCCAGGAAAGTTCAGAACTGTCATGGAAAAGGAATAGAGTGGTCTCACTGATAATGTATTTCAACATTTGTGTGTGTGTGTGTGTGTGTGTGTATGTGTGAGACTGCTGGAGTGTGACATTGGCAGATAGGCCAGGAGGACTTTGGCAAGTGGGGATCTAGCAGTATGCATTCAATCAAAGCAAAATTAGACACAGATTATGAAAAGGGATAGGGGGAATAGCCACAAGTAAAAATAAGCAAGACTTATGCTAAAAGGAGGCAAGATCCACAGGTCCCCAAAACGTACAAGGTCTTCCTGGTCACATCTATGATGCTGAATGGTCACAGACATTTGCGATTATCTTTGCATACTCTGGAATACGATTATGCATGCACTGATTTATCAAAAAAAACTTATGAACCACAGGCATCTCTGATACCACCAAACATCCACTATCTTAACCTAGTCTGCCAACTATACTTTGTTGCCTTGGCAACAGGAGGCAAGCAGGTATGGAGAAATCTTGTTGCCTGAGCAACAGGATCCTAAAAAACATGGACCTTAAGCTGTGGCTATGGCAAAGGCTATAGGTTCAAGCTAGCAGGCAAGATTTCAGTCCTTTACAGTGATAGATACAGAATTTACACTGAGGTAACCATCATTCATCTATTAATTAACAAGTATTTGTGGATTGGCAGCTACATGCAATACACTGTGCCCTGGAAAATGCAAAGGTAAATCAGGCATAGTCTGGCACAAGCTTGGCACACAGTAATAAATATCTATCAACTGAATGAATGAATATTCTTGATATGGGCATAGTACAATACCCAAACTCTCTAGGGCCTGAGTGTATGTGACAAAGAAGCCCATATATGACTTATCAAATTCTGCTATACAGAGTAATTTATTTATAAGTTGAAATAAAATGCTATGACTTGCTGGATTAGAATTATCAGTGTATATATACTGGGTCAGCCTATAAAACCCACATAAAACTGGTAAAAGTCAAACTCATTCTTAATTCTTCCCTAGCAAATAGCAATGAAGGCATATTTTAGATCAAATTTGAAAATGATTGAAGTTGGACATTCCAAAGCAATTGGGGACCAGTCCTCTCTTAGTCTTGCCATTAATTATATTCCTAAAAACAGTTTTACTACCCGATGATGGCTTGAATCAACAGAGTGCCTTCCAGTTCAAATACTGTATTTCTTTTCCCCATCCTTGAGACTTCCACACTTCTCGGATGAGACAGGAGCTGTCCTTTCTAATTCTGTTTGCTCATGTTTTTTGTTTTTGGGTTTTTAAAATTTATTTATTTTTTATTTTAGCGTATTATGGGGGTACAAATGTTAAGGTTACTTATATTGCCCATGCTTCCCTCCCCCCACGAGTAAGAGCTTCAAGCATGTCCATCCCCCAAATGTTGCACATCTTACTCGTTGTGGTTGTATATACCCATCCCCTCCTCCTCCCTCCCACCCTCCCATGTTTTACTCATTTGTCTGGCTCATTTGTCAAAGAAAGCTTATCCTAAGTACTTCAGTTCTTCAGCAGGCAATGGGTTCAAAGCTGGCTCCTGAGATCTGGCATGGTCAACGTTGAGAATTTATGCTTAACCTTTCTGTCTGTACTATTTAGCCAGGGCCAAGT